TCCCCCCCAACCTCCTCTAAAAGACAAGAAAACGGAAAAAAGCCTAATATATCTCTATACTATTAGAAAAGATTTAAATGTACCTTTCGTTGTAATTTGAGTCCAAATATACCCTTGTCATTATACTATTGGTTCAAATATACCCCTTTTCTGTTAAGTTTGTCCATAGTGGACATCCAATCCTATATGTCACTGACTTTTGATGAGGTGGATGCCACATGACTTGCCACCTCAGCGCCCCTAACCCGTTTTATCTCCCCCTCCCCTATCTATTTGTTTTCCACCACTAAAATTTCCTTCCCCTCCACCACTATTGCCACCATTACCGCTACCATAAAAAATATTGTATTTCAAATTTTAGTCTTTTATAGTATATATTAGGGGCACTGAGGTGGCATGTCATGTGGTATCCACCTCATCAAATATCAGTGACACGTAAGATATGATGTCCACCTTGGACAAACTTAACAAAAGAGGGGTATATTTGGACCCAAAGTATAACGAAAGGTATATTTAAATATTTTCTCATAATACGTGGGTATATTTGGCCCTTTGCCGACAAGAAAAATATATTTTATAAACTTTGAGAATGACATGTTTTCTGCACAAGATCCATGGTTTAGGATCATTCTACGAGATCAAACTTTTCCATGCAAAGGAGTTGCACTTTCAAGAGGGAAATTTGTAATGTAAAAGCTACATTTGTCATGTTAAAGTACTACATGTGTTATGTGTGACATGATAATTAATCGCAATTAGAGCTGACAACGGGACAAATTTCCGGTAGGACAAGCCAAATCATAAAGGGCAAAATACAAAATTAGGTCGAAACTAATGCATCCGCTAGCCAAAAAATGTGCTAGAATATGTATATAAATCACATATACACAAAAATATATATTTTATTGACTATTATTTTTTAGAGTGGCTAAAAATATGCATTTCCTCAATCATAAACAGGATAGGGCATGGGAGCTCTTATCAAAATGGGTTGAAACAATTTTTGAAAATCAAAAGTAGAGCAGGACAAAAGGCAGGTTAAACAAAAAAAATTACAACAAGTTTTACTTTATACTCTTCAGGTCTAGCTATAATAACAATGGATAAAAGAAAAGGACAGAAAAGTTTTTGCCAATAACATTACCCTTCAAAGATATATATATATATATATTTTTTTAGGACCATCCCTTTGAAGATATCTTAACAGATTGGAGGTCCTATATCACTCTTGTTGCCATATCAGGTTATTTAGTTAGACTGTCCATTGGTTCTATTATACAAGATTTCAACTGGTCCTAGACAATTTTGTTCCTACTTACATCCCCAGCTATCGTGCTTTACCTTGAAGAAAAGTCCATCAAGATTATCAATAAGTTTGTAGTTAGAGGCGTATTCGGGATTTTAAGAGTATGAGTGCACTATACTATCCTTTGGTTTGATACCATCAAAATTTTGCCATGACGATATGATACCAAAATCTAGGTACCAAGTGCATGTAACAGTGGGATCGAGCAAAATAAGAGAAGAACAAAAGAGTTAAGAAGAAGAGAGAGGCAGAATTGAGAGAGATGAGGGAAAAGAGAACTCAAATCCAATATAATATTCTGAATGAGCTTATATTTTGAATGCTTGCTATTTATAAGACTAAAACATGCTAAAGAAAATGCAAAAGGTAAATGCTGAAATGTAAAAAGTGTGATTCAAGTGATAACCATTTTTCCCGCCAAAATATTTAACTAACTTTCAAAATCATAATTGCCAATATGTGTATCAATACCACCCGGTTGAAAAATACCCTTGTCCTCAAGGGTCAAGGGCGAAGGAAGGAAAGCGAGCCTTAAGTGCAGACGCGAGCTCCCAAGTGGCATAGAATGCATCCAAACCTGTCCATTTCACAAGGCACTGGGCAACAACCTTATTGCCTTTATTGATCAACCTCCTCTCAAGGACTTGATCAGGAGTGGGGCAAAAACGACTGGCCAAATCAACCACAAGAGGAACTATTTCAGCAGGTATTTCATGACAAAATTTGAGTTGGGAAGTGTGAAAAGTAGGATGGATCATAACTTCAGGAGGCAGTAGCAACTTGTCGGAAACAACATCAATCTTTTCAACAATAGGATATATGCCAAAGTAGCAAGAAGTCAGTTTATGGTAAGGGAAGGTGGACAAGGAAAATTGTCGATAGGGCTGAAGCTTCACATAGACCTAGTCTCCCACTTGGAAATGTCTGTCAGACCTACGAGCATTGTCTTGAGACTGCATTCTCTACTGAGCTCGAGTGAGGTGAAACTTTTCTAGTTGGAGTTTGAATTCACGCAACAAGGAGATGCCTTCAATAGAAACAACATCTGAGTCACTTGGTAAATAAGGAAAATGCAAAGGTGGAGGATAACCATAGAGAAGTTCAAAAGGAGAGGTTTGGATAGCAGAATTTGGACTAGTATGGTACCACCATTCAGCAAGGGAAAGAAAGAGGGATCAATATGTGGGTGAGTCGGTGCAAAAATATCTTAGGTAGGTTTCTAAGAATCTGTTAAGAACCCCAGTTTGGCCATCAGTTTGTGGGTGGTATGCAGTAGAAGTATTCAGAGTGACACCTTGAGCAGTGTGAAATTCCTTCCAAAACAGCTAATAAAGATGGGATATCTATCACT